TCCAAGGCTGTCAGTCTTCACAGAAGCAAAGCCCAAACCATACCCACTGCCCTGGAGTCCATTCTGACCCACAGCGCCCCTAGAGGACAGAGTGGAACTGCCCACGGGGTCTCCAAGGCTGTTAGTCTTCATGAGAGCAGACTGCCACCTCTTTGTCTCTTTGTCCTCCTCCCCCACAGGCATAGCTGCACTTTGTTTCCTTATTGACTGGGATTCAAGCTTTGCAGTAGGAGACAAGCTCCTTTTCAATTTTAAGTCAGAATTTTAAAAAAAGTCAGCATGACAAATGCTCTTCTGTGATGGCTGTGCTAGGTTCCAGAATGAAAGAATTCTGTCCTTGTTTTTAGCAGAATGTATGTAAATTTGGCTCATCTGTAAAATGGTCTCAGCTTTGACTTTGCACATAGTTGGACAGCTTGTGGAGAGATGTGAGTCCATGTACCCCTCTGGGAGCACTCCTGCTGCATCTGCAGACGGTCTCTGTTTCTGAGTAGAAATAGGAGTCCGCGTATCCTCCTGGAAGCTCTCCCACTCTTGCCTGCAGATGGTCTGTCTCTGTGGAGGGGCGGGAGTCTGTGTGTCCCACTGGGAGCACTCTCACTCTTGCCCTGTGCTTCCCTGCTGTCACCCTGACCCTTGGGCTTCTGTTCCTTGGTGGCAGGTCATGACGAAGGATGGGCAGTGGTTTGCAGACTGGGAGGAAGTCCCACACACCAGGCACACCCAAATCCGACCCACCATGTTCCCACCAAAGGACCTGGAGAAGTTACAAGCCATGAATCTGCAGCGGTGGTAAAGTGGGGGTGGGATTGGGGTCTCTGGCGAGGGTGCTGCTGGGTTGGGGTGACTTAGAGTCAGGGACCATTGTTCTGAGGCCTAGCGGCTGACCCTGGGTCATGATCCTCAGGCTGAGGCTAAGCCCCTGTTGGTCCCTGGGAGCTACTGACGGTTGCAGCTGTATGGTCACGCCATGGGTGTTAAATAACTTCCAAGAGTGTGTGTCGGCCACCCTGTGTGTGAGGAGTGCTGAATGTTTACACTGAGCTATGTCTTGGCCCCGTGTGAGGAGTGCGTGAGTGCTTATGTGGAGGTATGATTTGTCCCTGTGTGAGAAGTGTTGAGTGTTTATGTCAAGACATGACTTCCCAGGTGTGAGGAGTGCGTGTGTTGTATGAGGAGGTGTGACTTTCCATTTGTGAGGAGTGTGTTGGTGTGTTGTATGTTGAGATGTGACTTTCCATGTGTGAGGAGTACGTGAAGTGTGTCGTATGTTGAGTGCAACTTTCTGTGCATGAGGAGTTCGTGTGTTGTATGTTGAGACGTCACTTTCCCAGATGTGAGGATTGCATGAGTGTGTTGTACTTTGAAACATGATTTTCTGTGTGTGAGGAGTGCGTGAGCTTGTTGTCTGTTGAGATGTGACTTTCTCTGGTGGGAGAACTGCGTGAATGTGTTGTATGTTGAGATGTGACTATCTGTGTGTGAGGAGTGCGTTGTTTTGTATGTTGAGGTGTGAGTTCCCGTGTGAGGAATATGTGAGTGTGTTGTATGTTGAGATGTGACTTTCTTAGGTTTGAGGATTGGATGTGTTGTCTGTTGAGATGTGACTTTCCGTGTGTGAGGAGTGCGCAAACGTGTATGTTGAGACGCTACTTTCCATGTGTGCGGGTTGTGTGGCCGTGTTGTGTGTTGAGACGTGACTTTCCCAGGTGTGAGGAGCGTGCTAGTGTGTTGAGAGGCACCTTTCCGTGTGTGAGGAGCGTGTTTATGTTTGGACTTGACTTGTTTCTCTCAGGTAATCTTTGTTACATTTGTTTTCACGCTGAGAAAGCAGGTTGGATTAGATTACAGTGAGTTTTCTTTCCTTATGTCTTTAGCCTAAGAATATTACCACATCATCAGAACACTGGAGGGTTCTTTGTGGCCGTACTGGTCAAAAACTCACCTATGCCGTGGAATAAACGTCAGCCAAAGGTAAGTGTCACCTGCAGACTGACGGGAGACACGCTTAAGGTGGAATCTGCCAGGGGGCATTTAGGGGGAGGTGTTCAGGGGCAGAAGGCAGGTTTGGGGGAGCTGACCCTGAAGAGAAGAGGTGTTCAGGGGCAGAAGGCAGGTTCGGGGAGCTGACCCTGAAGAGAAGAGGTGTTCAGGGGTAGAGGCAGGTTTGGGAGAGCTGACCCTGACGGAGAAGAGGTGTTCAGGGGTAGAGGCAGGTTTGGGGGAGCTGACCCTGAAGGAGAGGAGGTGTTCCGGGGCAGAAGGCAGGTTTGGGGAGCTGACCCTGAAGGAGGTGAGGTGTTTCGGGGCAGAAGGCAGGTTTGGGGTCTGACCCTGAAGGAGGGGAGCTCCTTGGGATTTGGCAAGGGCTGAGAGCAGAGTGTCTGTGAGGGAGAGATGAGTGGAAGAGACTGTGACTGACGAGTGTATTCCTTCAGCTTCCAAAACCCACATTATTGACTCAAAATGGAAAAAACCATCAGATGGCCCTGTGGGTCAGACCCGGACACCAGCCCCCGCCCACCTCTGGGCTTCAGGGTCCTGTGGCGTGGGCTCATCCCAGCCAGGGACTGGTCTCCCAAGCCAGCCTTTGTGTGTGTCGCATGTGTGTCAGTGGGCCTGGCTGAGGGGTGGCCCACTGGCCCACCTACAGGCTGTGTTTTCATGTTTTTAAATGTATTGAGGCTTGGTTTGTGGCCTGACATGATCTGTCCTGGAGAATGTTCCACGTGCACTGGAAAGAATGTATATTGTGCCGTTGGGGGTGAAATGCTCTGTACATGTCCATGAGGTCAACTTTGTGGGTGGTATTATTTACTTGTGGGTCTTTGTTGAGCTTCTTTCTGGTTCTGTCTTTCATTGAAAGTGGTGTATTAAAGTCTCTACTATGCCTGTGGAGTCATCTATTTGTCTTTTCAACTCTGTTGAAGTTTCATTTATGTATTTTGAAGCTCTGTCATTGGGTCCATAGATATTTATTATGGTTATATCCTCTTGTCCAATTGATCCTTTAATCATTATATTATGTCCTTCCTTGTTTCATGTGGTGGTTTTTGTCTTAAAGTCAGTTTTTGTCAGGAATTAATATTACCACTCTTGCTCTTTTTTGATTGCCATTTGCTTGATATATCTTTTTCCAACCTTTGATTTTGAGTCTATTTTTGTCTTTGTCTCTAAGGTGTGTCTCTTATAGACAGCATATTGATAGGTTATGTTTTCTTATCCAGTCTGCAACTTTCTGTCTCTTAAGTGGTGTGTTAATCCATTGACATTCAGTGTAATTATCGACAAGTATGAATTGGTTGCTGTCATTTTGTTAAGTATTTTATCATGATGCTGCTGATTTCTTTGTTCCATATAATTTTCTGTGCTGAGCATATTTTGTTTATGAATTGTGTTATCATTTCCTTTGTTGCTATTGTTTTAGTAGTTGCTAAATATTTGTGCTTGTCCTCTTTTTTATTGTGATGCAAAAGTTTATTATTTTTCTTTGAGGTTGCGCTATGATTTATAGTTTATTTCCCAAGTTTAGAGCAGTCCATTACATCTTGCAATTGTCTTGACCTCTTCACCATTTAGAAGTTCTGTAAGTACACTATTTTTCCCCCTTTTTGGTTTGTAGTTATCCCTGTTTGGGATTTGATATCTCTCGTTCCTTGTTTACAGTATTGTAAGCTTACTTTTCTTTGGATACTTCCATACTTAGTTGTTTCTGGGTTATGTCATCGTGTGTTAATGGTTGGTTGTTGTTTGCTGCTGCTGGTTCTCTGTCCAAAGGACTCCCTTTAGTATTTCTTCTAAGGTTGGTTTGGTTTTAACAAATTCCCTTAATTTCTGCTTATCTAAAAGTGTCCTAATTTCACCATCATATTCGAGGGACAGTTTTGCTGGGTATATAATTCTTGGTTGGAAATTTTTCTCTCTCAAGGTTTTATATATATATACACCATCCATTGTCTTCTAGCCTGCAGGGTTTCTGCTGAAAAATCAGAGCTTAGTCTTATTGGTTACTGTTGTAGGTAACTTTTCATTGTTCACATGCTGCTTTTAGGGTTCTTTCTTTCTCTTTCGGTTTTGGTGAGTTTGATTATGATATGTCTTGGTTATTTTCTTTTGGGGTTTATCCTAGTTGGGGTTCATTGAAGTTCTTAAATGGATATATTCTTGCCTTTCATCATAAGGGAAATTCTCTTCCAACAAGTCTTTGATAGTTTTCTCTGTTGTTCTGTTTCTCTCTTTCTGTTCTGGAATTCCATAATATGTCTGTAATGGAAGTACCTGACGTATCCACAGTGACTCTTAGGCTTTCTTCATTTTGTTTTGATCATTTTTCTGATCTATTCCTTCCCAAAGTAGTACTGAGGTATTTGTCTTCAGTTTCTTTTTTATTTGTTTTTCATTTTTTATTGTGCTTTGGGTGGGTATTTGTCTTCAATCTCACAAATGTATTGATCTTTAAGATTTCTGTCTGTATATTTTGTATTATTTCGAATTTTTAATTTATTTTGTCATTTTGTTCTTATATTATCTTCCCAAATTGTTGTAGTGTTTTGTATTTTCCTTAATCTGTCTCTCAGTCTGTTGAAGGTATCTAAATATAATTCTTTTGAATTCCTTATCAGGAAGTTCCAATGCTGCTTCTTCCTTAGGGATATTTTCTGGGTTTGTATCCTAGCCCCTTGTTTCTACTACTTTATCTTAATTCTTTATGTGGACTGTGATGGTCTGTTGTCTCTGAGATGTTGTGGTGTTATGTTTATGTTTAATTTGTGGTTATATGTTGGTGTGATTTGCACAAGATTTTCTTTCCTTTATTTTGTTTTGACATGTCTGTGTGAGCAGGGCCCTGTGCTCCTCTGTTCACTACTTGTTAGCACTTAGGCCCTCACCACCTGTCTCCTGGTGGGGGTGATAGAGACTGAGAGTGTGTGCACACATCTCTGTTAGCTGTTCGTAAAGAGCAGTTGAGGGTGGGTTGAGCTGGTATCAGCCTCCATCTATTTTTGGTCAGTTGGTGCAAGAGCACATGGTGGCCCTCACTTGCTGGGTGCGGTTGCAGGAGGTGCAGGTACCCTTGAGTTGTATGGGTACAGTTGCTGTCTCCTGGTCAGACAAAAGCAACAATCAAAGAAGTAAAGAGGTTTACAAAAACATGTACCACATACACACACAGGAACAATTGCCAAAAAGAAAAAAATAAAAAGGAAAGGCGATAAATGAGAAGAAATATTTAAAGAAATACTTTAAAAAAAAAAAATTATTTTGATTTGGGTGAAAGTTTACAGGACAAATTCACTTTCTGTGCAACAGCTCACATACACTTTGTCTCATGACTTTGCAATTTCCCACAATGTAACAGCTCTCCTCCCACTTCCTCCCCATAGTTACCTCTTCCCTGTATCCTTCCCTCCCATGCACTCCTGATCCCTGAGCTGTCTCCCTGTGCATATACAGCCTTTCTGTTCTCACATGATCTCTCCAAGGAGTGTATTTACCTACTGTAAATGTTCAGCTGGAAGCCACAGAAGTGGGTTCAATTCCAGACCTGAAGGGCAGCTAGGGGCCTTAGTCTCAGGGGTTCCACCAGGTTTTATCAGACCAGCAAACCTGTCCCTTTTTTCTTTAAATGATTTTGAGTTTTGTTCCACATTGTTCTTGGCAGTGGTAGCTGGGCACCATCTAGTTCTGCTCTCATAGTTGTATAGGCTGAGGATCGATCGACTGCGGGGTGTATCAGTAGTTGCTTGGACTAATTGTTTCCATGTGTCTTTGATTTTATTCATTTTTCTTTGCTCTGGAGGAGGAGAGACCCATTGTTGCATCTAGATGGCTGCTTGCAAGCTTTTAAGATCCCAGTTGCTACTCTCCAAAATAGGATGTGGAACAATGTTTTTGTGTAGTATGTTATGGTAATTGAGCTTGATGTTCCCTGGGATTATGGTCCAAAGCCCACAGGTCCAACTACTCACTCCCTCTGGGTAGCTGTCTGTGGCCAAGAAGTAACTACAACCTTGTCCCTTGTCAGCTCTACAGTACACCTGGGAATTCTCACAGAACATACAACTACACTTGTAGAAACATTGTCTGCCAACACTATACATGGTCATGGGCACCCCCCTATTGACATAATATTTCAGTCTGTCCACCCATCTGTCAACCCGTATATCCATGTTTGCCTTCACTGACAACGCAGTACTGTATGTGCAGAAGGGTTCATCTTTGTTGCCTGTCCCTCCCGTGCACCTCTGTGTCTTCCTCTTCCTCAGTGCCACCGTCTTGATCACTCACACTTGGTACGTTGCCCTTCTCTTCACCCAAGTCAATACCTGTTTCTACCTGTCTAACAGTGTTCCCTCCCCTCCCACCCCTGATAACCAACAAAGAAAATTTCCTCCCCGGAAGGAAGGTTGGGCAATCCTACTTCCGTAGTGATACTGCCTCGGAAACCCAAGGAGGGGTCGCTATGAGTCGGGGCTGACTCGACGGCACATAACAACAACAACAACATAGAAACATTAAAGAAATACTTTTAAAGGACAAAAGAAATGTAAATAGAACAAGAAAGAAATACAAACCCACAGTATTTGGGGAGGGAGGAATGAGAGAAAACAGCCCAAAAACTAGAACCCAGAAAGGGAAAAAGAAAGAAGAGAATAATTTTAAAACGATAAAATCTTGGGGAGGTAGGGCAGGGTATCCAGGCTCCATCAGATCACACAGACTGGGATGAAATTCCTGACAGTTTGGATGGTAAGTGGAGGTGAGGGAAGGCCACACCTCCATTCGCCAAGAGGGTTTGGGGCATGAGTGAGAAGGGGAATGGCACTCCTCTCTAGTCGTCAGCCTCTAGTGTGTGTCTGACTGTGCTCTTCTGTCCTTGGCAAGTGGAACCTATTTCTAGGTTGCTGCTGCTTTAAATATCCAGAATGCCTGCACCTGCCGGACACCCAAAGTCCACAACTCATTCTGTCTCC